GAAATGAAATGATTGTGAATAAAAAATGTCCGTAGGGGTCAAATACACCTCACTAAGTTTTCATTTGTTCATCACTGGACCATTTGATTGCATTTATACATGAGCCTCTGTCTGTCTCATGGGGGAAATATATGGTTACTCAAGTCCTGCTATGCTTTGTTCCTCAACTAGCTTGTAAGTGTGTGTGAGCACTTAAAAAATGTGTGTTGTAGGAGGATGAATAAAGAATAAGTGTGTCTGTCAGTAAGCTGATTCCCTGCAGAGAGGCTGATACTCTACCTAATGGAAGACACTCTACAACACGGATTAACAATATTTTATAGCTAAAGCCTGGCAATACACACACACACACACACACACACACACACAGGCATAATTTCATCACCTTGCCTGTGTTTTATAAAGTCTGTTTGACAGATGTGTGGTTAATTGGCTCAGTGTGAGCAGTGAGGGAGACGTAAGGTGATGGAGACAGAGATAGAGAGAACAAGATGTTTGTGATGAGTCAAGTCATTACAGACATGCCCTGAGGCTATAAACTCATATCCTGTGAGCCTAGACAACATGTAGATTAAGAGAACAAGAGGGAAGGAACGCTCGTGTCGCATTAAAGCCAGTAATTTTATGCACTTATATAAAAACATTCAAGAACTTTATTGCCATTGTGCAAGCCCAACAAAGTTGCATTTGTGTCACCCTCCAATGAAGGGTGGTAGTCACCACTTAACAATAAAATATAACTAACAAGGGCGCTAAAGCATCAGCAGCAAAGACGCTGTAAAGCTGCAATGTAACACACCTGGAGTGATGGTGTACTGAAGTATTAAATTATATATGTATGTGGTTAATTTAGAAATACTGCACATAATCAGTTGAAATGGCATGTAACTAAGTAGTGCACATACCCCAATGACGGCAGTACACCAGGACAATCAGACTGAAGAAGTGTCTTGCTTCAAAAGTTCAAAAGTGCCACAGCTTTTGGGAAGAAGCTACGTATCAGCTTATTTCTATGTGTGCGGATTGTTCTAAAGTGCCCACCTGATGGGAGGTGCTTAAACAAATGTGGTGGGCTGGGTGTGTAATGTCTTTTAAGTTGTTCTTAGCCCTTTTCACACAGAGAGTGCTGTGGAGATGTTCTAGTGATTGCAGCTCTATGCCAGCAATGTCCTGTGTTGTTTTCTTAATCAGCTTTGGTGCAGCTGCTGTACCAGGCTGTCATGCAGTTTGTTAGGATGTTTTCTGTGGTATAACTGTAAAGTTGACAAGCAGCGTTTGGTGGAGGTTGGCAGCCTCCTCAGAAATAAAGGCACTGTTGTGCCTTACCCACCACTGCTGAGGTGTTGTCAGCCCAGGAAAGGTCCTGGGTGATGGTAACTCCCAAGAAGGGCACCTGAAGGTGGGGACTACTGTTGGTCTAGATCAGCTGGGACACTGTCTGAGCACCAGCACCAGTTGTTCAAAGAATTTTAAAATGACAGGAGTGAGAGCAGATGGCCAATAGTCTTTAATACAGGTTACCATGTTTTCTGGAAACAGGCACAATGGAGATGATGCTGAGGCATACATAGACTGTGCATAAGGATGGTGAGAAACTGCAAATATGTGTGAATACCTCTGTTAACCGATCTGCACAGGCACATAAGGCCCAGATGCTTTCTGTCTGTTGATGTTGCAGAAGACCTGCTGCAACTCATGAGTGTGCAGATTCTTTAGGTTTTGGTTTTATTTTATTTTTTCACCCAATACATATAATTTTTGTATAAAACCTGTCAGGGTGTCAGGGTTCTGGCTAGGGAAGGACCCAAATGCAGACACAAACTGATGTTCAGTAAAAAGCAAGGTTTAATATAAGCAACATAACATAAAAAAGACATAGATTAACTCACGAGTTCAATTTGACAAAATGCAACACAGTGGCATCTAAAGAAAAGTAACAAATAAGCAGCACTGTGTAAAAACGACACATTGCCAAGATAGTCAGGCATAGTGTGACACCCTACAAAAGTGGTAGAGTGGTATCATCTTCTTGTCGCTCCACCAGAAAGGAAGTAAACATATTTCCCAATTTTCTGAAGTATTCCTTTAAACTTAGAGAACTCACAAGAGGCCAAGAGTAAATAAATTAAAGCAGCAGATATCCTGACTTCTTGTTCCTAGTTCAGGTCAAGATCCATAAATAATACTGTAGATCCTACATTTCCCATAATCCAAACTGATAGGCTTTTTCCCGGATCCTACATTTCCCATAATCCAAACTGGCTTTTTCCCTTTTACCCTTCCTGACTGTGAAACACCCATGTCTTTTACACACCATGTTTGGTTTGTTAACATTGCCTTTCTATTCAGCTTGTCTGTAATTATCATGAACAAAATTAGTGGTGTTCCCTTTAAAAAATGAGTGTGCATGTGTATATGTGTGTCTCACCTTCTCATAGTAAATGACCTCATACTCCACTATTGCTCCATTGGGTCTCTCGGGACCCTGCCAGGCCAAAGTCACACTGTCTTTGCTCCGCCTCTCTTTCAACACTACACTCACTGTGGGAAACAAAGAAAGAGGAGAAAGCATGAGTAACATGGAGAGATGCAAGTCCAACAAGATGTGAAGACAAGCATGAATACCGGTAGAGAGAGCAAGCGACTGCAGGGGCAAGGATTTTAGAAATCTACCTACAGTACTGTGCTATAATGAGAGACCCATATGTGAAGTGTGTGTCATGTAATTTTGCTAATGAGGGCGCCTGTAAGGTGTTTGCTACATGTGTGATTACAGCATTCTACGATGTATGAAGTGTGATCTGCTTGTGTTATTAATGTGCAAACCCAAAATCCCACCTTCCTACTCAGCCTTCTCACATCAGTGCACATGTTCACATAGGTCCAAAGTGTATGTTTGCTTGTGCTTGTGTGTAAGTGTGACATACAGTAATTGAGAGCAGAGCGTGTGACATGTGGAGATCTTAATGAGATTAACAACTTTATACACCCCTTTCACCTTCTTCCATCCTGTTGTTACACACCCATGCGTACTACAAGGCCTATTAGTCATTGCCACCCTGTCAAACGCTTCTCTTCTCTTCTCTTGCACAAATTTCCCACAGTCCCACACTGTGAAAAATGCAAATGCGATTATATATGTGCGGACAGAAGTGCAGAGGTTTCATTTTGTGGTATCAAAGTGATGCAGCACAACGGTGACTGTACTGTTGTCATGTAAAAGCCTGCTACTACTTGTTAGCACACTGCAATCAGGAGACAAGAAATACATGTAAATGCATGCTTTGTTACTCTTTGTAGCTTTTTTTCTTCAATTTAAATGTGAAAATACCCTGCCTTGCTGAAACATATATTGTGAAACAGCTGTCTGTCAAAAATGACGTTTTTTTTTTTACATTTATTGTTAAATTTGGGGATTTAGATTTCTATTTAGGAGTGATTTTACCCCCACTATTCATGTGTGTTCTCACCTGTCTGTGATGTGGTGACATTGATTACTACTGCACCTCTGAGAGTAGGACTTAATTCTGACACTCCATTTTGGCTCTCAATAGTGAAGGTGTAGTTGGAGTCTGGCTGCAGGTCAGTGACCAACACGCTGGCTGATGAGAGACCAAACTGTCTGGGAATAAAATGGACACTGCTGCCACATGGTGCGCACTTCTTTCCATCACCAGAACACTTTGTGCAGTGGAGGCTGTAGGTGACATCTCCTCGGCCTCCCGTGTCTCTGGGTGGCGACCACTCCAAGGTGACACAGGTCTCGTTCACAGTGGTGATGGGGTTCTCTGGAGCAGATGGGGGACCTGAGAGAAAGCACAGATTTCTTTATGTCCACATTTTTTCACTTTAAAATTGAAAATAAGGGATTATAAAACCTTTTTGTTGAGTGAGTCAAGTCTTATCCAACCCACTGGGAAATTAATGCAAGTGAATGTGAGGAGTAGCCTGGGTAGCCCGTGGGGTTTCTTTTGTAAACAAACACAATAATTTCATTGTTTCTCACCAAAATGCATTGTGTACGGTGAAACCTACATTTTTTTGACATTGATATTTGCCACTAGCACTGCCAGTGGTCAGAAACTCAGCAGGGTATTATTAATATTTTATAAAAAGCAGACACTTCCTTGAAAAGTGCTATTGCAGTATATGGCACCTACAGTAGAAGATAAGTCTTTGATGCGCAGTATCTCAAAACACACTACAACTACTAAAACCATGCTTTCCCATCACTCACTAAAAGTTAAGCTTTGAGTGACAGGTCTGAGGGTCACACTGGCCGCTAGCTGTCTAATGAGCTCCACATGCGCACACATGAGGCGGAGCCTCTTTGCCCATTTTTGGATTAGCTGTAGCAGGTGGAGGGAAGCACTACCAAAAGTCTGGTGATACTTTAAAACCACTCTTCAGAAAACCAAACGGTGATGTCACGATGGGTTTGTCCAGCTTTTATATACAGTCAATGGGTCTATCCTGGACGGGTCACAGAGTGTGTTCCATTACCTTAAAATGTCTTGTTATTTCCCCCACTTGTGTCATATCCTCGTGTCTTAAGGTGAATCCCATTTTCTGTATTTTATCATTCCTCTTTCCTCAATCCTTGCTCAACCTAGAAGTTGTTGTGGTCTGCCATGATGAAGGATGTCTCAGAGTTCTTATTTCTCCTCTGAGGAGCGACTACAAAGGAGTGAGGAGGCTGCCTAGAGGAGCTATAACCAAGGATACACGAGTGCACCCTTGCGGAAGATTGTTACAGATTGCCGCTTCTTTATCTGGAAGCAGTTTCTGAGTGGATGCTTCATATGAGGGATCATAGAAAAGGACGTATCTTGTCAGTTAAAACTTGTTTCCTAATTTCCTCTCTCCTCACAGTATTTCCTTGCACCTTATGTGGGCAGGACTAAGACACAAGGAAAAGACACAAGTGAGGGAAACATTGCAACAGTTAATGGAACTGGGATTCACCTTTAGTCCCACCAACATATAAGATGCACGAAAAAAATGGAAAAAAAGGAAGGAGAAAAAAATGCAAGGAGAGAGGAAACACATTTTTAGAGACATGAAAGTCTTTCCTTCGATCGGCCATTTGAAGTGTCCAATAACTAATTGTTTTCTGATAAGGCGGCATGTCAGTCTGTATGTTCCGTGTTCATATCTCCTCCAGGCAGCCTCCTCGCTGCTCCAAACAGCACTAAGGGAACTGAGACATCCTTCACTGTAGTGGAACAAAAATGATTTCTGGGTCACTCGAGGCGTGAGGAGTGAGGACACATAAAATAAGATAATGGGAAACACACTGTTTCCGGTATTTAGATACTGCATGACCCCTTATCTTTGCCAGCTCATGAACTACTAACCGATTCCCCCAAATGTGTCTTCTTTAAAGATGGATTTAAACTTTGGAAGCGTAATATAGTCTCATTTCATCACATTTACAATCAGCCGGGCTCATTTAATCACTGTCCATTCCAAAGCTATTCATTAATTGAGCACTAAGTGTCCACCCTCAGCCTGGAGGCATTTAATTCATTTTTAATTTAATCAATGTGAATTCTATTCTTAATAGAAACTTCCATTAATTTGGTGATGAACATAAAGACAATGCACGTTTAAAGGGGATTCACATGATGATAAATAGTTGAGCTTGACTGCAGGAAGGTTGTTTTTGGGGCTGCACTGTGAACAATGCTGTAAATAGTGAGTGGACAGTGATCTATAGAAAATGCCTGCAGTAATTTTCCCATGAGGCAGGTACATTTATGATTTAGAGCAGTTAATATTACTCGGAACTTCGGCTAAAATGACTAGTGTGACACAGAGTCAGAGTCCAAAAAGTGTGTCACAAATCACTGTCAAGGAAGCAAAGACACAGCAGCGCACAAATGGTCTTTATAATGCCTTTAAAAGAAATGTGTTAAAGCTGATACATAAATTAAAATGTCTTACGTTAATATACGTAATGTTTAAAATGGTTTTATTTCAATGTAAGCAGTGTACTGAAGTTTTAACATATGACTATAAGGAACATTTTGTCTTTGACCTGAGAGGTCAAATTCTGCTTTGTGTCTTTTATACGTGCGTATACTTGACTCTCATCACATGCTCAGTTTGCATATATGTGTTATTTTGTCTTGCATACTCACAATAGCAAATACCAGTCAAAATTTAATAAACACTGACATAATATTCTGTGTGTGTGCCCATGGATCAAAGTGGTATTGAAGAGCAGAAATAAACTAAGGCACAACAAAACTAACAGCAGCTTATTAGCATAAAAATTTATATTTGGTAGCTCTATAGGAAATTTAGGGACACAAATTTGAGTTAGGGCCATAAAACTGTTCAAGTTGGACAGTGAAAACCCAGCTTGCCTGGCACTCACACACCCCTTACTAATCTGCTGGCTGCCTTACAATACTACAGTATAAGGGAAGTTTGTACACTTGTGGAAAGTTATCAAGGCAGCAATGATTTTATCTTCTGAAACTTTATTTGGCAGTGAAACGGACAGGAAACATGGTGGTATGACATGCAACTAAGGTCCATAATCAAAATCAAACTGTAGACATTCTAGTTATGTGGTATGTGCTGTAACCCTTCGACTGCCATGGCACTCCCGGTCATTTTATCTTGCACAATGATTGTAAAGTAAACAGTAATTCAGCATTTCATGTTACAGAAGTAATCAGGAATGTGTCGTTGCATGTATCAGATTAGCCATGGCATTGCCCTGCAGGTGACACAGGTTTGAGCAGTGTCAACTACTTTTATTCATAGACAACCTTGCTTTTTTTTTGGAGCCCTCTACATTTGCAGCCTTGCTGGACCACCACAGTGGTGCCATTCAAATGAATGAGGACCCTACATTTTTTCCACACAAAACTGCCGTAAACAACTTGTTCACCTGCTTTTACAATTATTAAGCAGTGACTAATTATATCTTATCTAGTTTTCAGGGCTTTTTCCTTGGAAGGAAGGGAGCCTTTATGATGTAATTCTTGTTGTATGGGAACAATAGAAACCACTGATTATGGTTGCTCACAACACAGCATAGTGCAGGGATGTTAACCATGTGAAAATTTGGCAGTAGATGCCCGTTTGGCCTGACATCTCATCAGGTTCCCGGGTGAGCAGTGAGCCCCAGGGAGCCGCAGGCAGAGCCTAGGACTTTCCTGATTAGCCTTCCCAATGGCAAGCCTCTCTGAACCGTAGGAGCGATGGGGAAAACTGGTCATGTGGGGTGGAGGTTATGCTGGGGATAAATGAGGCTGTCAGTCATATAGCTGCTGAAATGCTGCACTGACTGATTCTGCTAACTCAGTCTTTTGCTTTTCTCCAGCCATACGCCCCCACCCCCACCCTGAGTTTCCTAGGCCACACTTAACTGTCCATCATCATTTAGACATTTAGATTATATGCCACTGATAGTGGACTGTTTCCCCTGCTGTTCTATCTTTTGTCTGTCTGTCATTCTCCTCATCTCTCCATGACAATTTTTTTCACCTTTTATCCTTATTTTCTAATTTTCTCCCAGTGATCCTCTTTAGTGCTCTTCACCAGTCAAGAGAGCGTGTGTGTGTGTGTGTGTGTGTGTGTGAGCATACATATCTGAACAAACCGTTACTCATTTCCAGCTGATAACACCTGTCACCTCTCACCTGCTACAACGATTAATGAGTATAATCTACCATAACCTGATAATGGGTTTGAGTATGTGTGTGCATGCTAATGTGCGTGTGTGTTCCTCCAGCTTTTTCTAGCTTAGTCTCTCTCTCCCACCATGTCATTGTCCTTTCCCACCCCCCACATCCCTCCTTCTATCTCAATCCATCTTTTTCTGTCCCTCTGTTTCATTCAATCATCCTTTCTATTCTCCTCCATCTTTGTTCATGAAGGCTGATCCCTCTGGCTGTGTGTGTGTGTGCACGCATGTGTGAGAGTCAGACAAAGAATAAGAATCATCTGATTTCTACCACAGTATCACCCATATCAGTGTTCTCATCTGAGATATCTGTGGGCCATGGCCACAGACATGGACACGTGTGTGTGTTTTATATATATGTATTTCTAGTGTTGTGTAAACCAATAGGAGCTGAAGGAGAAGAAAGTGCATGGAAAGACTGTAAATGAATGAACAGGAGGCAGCCATGCAATAAATTCTTATAGGAATACACAGCAAACAATCAAATATATAACAGTTAGACCTTTTTTATAACATAAAGATGTAACATCCACATGCAGATATTTGACTATGTATGCAGTATGGAACTGTATGAAATGAACCTTGTTAGTAGCAAATACGATGTGGGTGTGTGTTTTTATTACTCACGTGTGCAGGCCATTGAGCGTGGGTCACTCTCTGCTCGGTAGAAGCCTTTTTCGCAAATACACTCGATGGCTTGTTCCTGTGGGGACGAGCTGTGAGGAGGACATTTGGTGCAGTAGGCATCAGAGGCAGAAGCTTTGTATGTACCGGGTCTGCAGGCTGAAAGAAGGAGACAGATAATATCAGGGTTAGAAGGTTCATGAGTGCAACCACACAAGCTTTAGATCCCGGTCAATGAACATCAACCATAGAGTCATGTTATAAAATGTTTTGCTACACCAAATAAGCTGCTGCCAATGTTTTCAGAGGTTCAACAAGGTTCTTGTTTTGAACGGTATGATGAGCCTGATGAAGGCCACAAGCCAGAATGCATTGATCTACCAGTAAATTTGTTCTTTATACTCTAAGTGTTGTTGGAGCCTATAAACTGATGCCTGTTTATAGACTTCTTTCCTCATTCAACTGTGACCAGCTACCACTGTTGTGCATGCACACCCTTTTCCTGTGCACTGAGAGTTTAACACAGACCTTTCAAGGTGGGTTAACAACTCGGGGGGATATTTTCTAAAGTTTTGCAGCTCATTTTTTTGGCATTAAACAGTGAAATTGCTTGTTGATATTTACTAAGGAGTCGCAACAGGGTTTTGTGGTGGAGAAATAGAAGAGGAATTTGCGTGTTGGATCTCATGCAATATGTATTTTAAGGCCTTAACATTTAGGGATGCAAAATAAGGGGAGGAGAGAATGGAAATGTATACAAATACCCTCAAATGCCCTTACCGCCGCTGCGACAAAGGGTACTGCGGCTGAAATTTAACATCAGCAGAAAGCAGGTGTAAAATCTGCGGCACAGCTCTCAGCATGGCAGCTGGTATTCATTTGCACTCATTGGAGTGCAGACCACATGAGGGAGGAGAGGGTGTTTGTAAATCGTGTTGCTTTCCAAAGGGACTTTTACAGGCTTTCAGGTCAAACCATGCTTCTGTTACTGAACAAAATAAAAGATGATTGGCAGGAGACTATGTGTTTGTCGATTTCTTCAGCCACATTAAAGTTCGATCACTGTGAACTTACACTTGGTTCTAAGTTGCCTCCTGGTCCACAGTACTAAAATTAACACATCTGTGGCCGTGCTCATTTACATCTTCAGTGCTAAATTGAAAAAATGTGGTTCTGCAATATTTTCTGTGCCTGACATTAATTTACTAGAAGTGTAGTGAATATCCCCCTTGGTCTTACCTTTAAATAAAGTAGTTTTAAATAATCTGTCTTAATTGTTGTCTAATCATCTGACAGCATGTGTCTTGCTCCATCTGATTTGCCAACTCCCCAGATTTCAGCAATTACTTCAGTAAGTGCAGCACTACAGAATTAGAAATGAGGCAAAAATTACAAAAAAGTATGCCCAGACTTTAATAAAGCAGATTCATCTTTTAAGCCTGTGTGCAAATAAAGTTGAGTATAAGGCAGAACAAAGACTCAAAATGTATAAAGAACACAAAATGCCACAAGCAGTTATTCTACCACAGAAGTACTACAGATACTGATAGGTCATAAGATGTGCCGTGCAGCAGCCACAGCAAAGAACATGAAAACCAAGTTTGATTTAATAGACTGTGACATTAGGTCTAAGTGGGATCCTTTTACAACAGGCTGAAGGCCTGTATAACCACAGGGTCGCACTGCACAAAGACAGTGCCACAACAGATCAACTGTCATTCCTGTTATATAAGAATTAGATCTTCAGGCAACCAAGGGAGCAAAAATGCACAGCTGAAGTCACAGCAATAGTCATGATAACATAATATGACTATTGCTACTGCTGTTACAGTGGCGGCATATTAGTCATTATGTGGAGTCATAAAAGTGGGGAGGGAAAACCGTGCTACCACTCAACAAGAGCTGCCTGCTGAAATGGATTGGGGACTTGAATGATTTCCCTTTTGCATCCTAGGCAGTAAAATGGAATTCCTGACTTTTCCTCTGGCAATCTGAATATAGATTACACCTGTATTTATTTATACATTCATAGGCCTGGTATTCCCATCCTTGCAAGCCTTTTCTACCAGGGTGGTGAACAGTATTACAGTGTACAAAACCCCATGTACGGAAAATGAGGGTTTCTCAAATGCAATTCAATAGATGCCCTGGGTGTGTGTGTGTGTGTCTACACATGTGTGAATATGTTTGTAAATAAGTTGGATCAATGATATGACAGCACCCACCAGGTGCTGATTGCATGTTCGTGTGCTGAGTGCTTGTGTATAAGATGGTGTTAAGTATGCAGTGTGCATGCATGTGTGTGTGTGAATGTGTGAGTTCGCTTGCTGATTGCTTGTGCTGGTGGTGAAGGTCACGGATTTAATCAAGTTACATGTCACTTGTCCCAGAAAGACCGTAAATTACCACGCTAACACACACACACACACACACACACACACACACATATTTCCAATGCCGTGGTTAACCTGCAGATAGAGGAATAGAAAAGTGGCCTAAAAGTAGTGTGATTTCTCACTGTGGAGATAAGTTCTTCCACCTGGACACTGTGCTTGTTCGCATTCACAGTATTTTTAGGCAAATCATTCATCATAGGGGAGCAAAGTCCACCAGCACAATCCCCAAAAGACCTGAGAGAATGCTGGAAAAGGGATGTGTGTGTGTGTCTGTGTGTGTGTGTGTGTGTGTGTGTGTAGGTGTGAAAGAATGAAATAAAGGAAGGAAAGAAAGAAAGGAAAGGGAGTGATAATTCTCAAAGGGTTTCTGCTCTCTTTCCTTCTTCCTGTCAGCTTCCAAGGTAATGGGTACCTATGTACTGTGCTAGTGACTGTGTGTATGTGTGTGTGTTCCTGTTGGCTGAGCCGTACAGCAGGAGTAGGGTGGAAAAGCAGTTTTTCTCTGGAGACATTTCATCCGGAGAGTCGTGGCTCCAGGCGCTGGCCAGCCACGATTGCACAAAGGACCCAGTGCTAGAGGACAGACGGAGCGCCTGATGCCAGGCCTGGCGTCCGAACAACCGCCTAATCAAAAACTTTGTGCAAGAATGGTGGCTTGGCTGCTTCAAGTGGAGCCTCCTTCTCTTGATCTGCTGTTTTCTACTCTGCTTATCCAGCTTGTTCTCACTCCAGATTGTCTTCCTCTCAGCCCCCCTCTCTTCTACTTCTCTTGCCTCGTTTTTCCACAAGCTACTCCCAGTGTCTTCCCCATGGGAATGTGTTACTTGACTTTGTTCCCTTATGATTAATGATTTACCATAGATATAAAAAAGGGACAAGAAGGCTGAGGCAGTAATGCAGTGCTCACATAAACATTGTACACACACACAAAACAGACACATGGTAGAACAAAAGTTTTGTCACAAAACTGTGTTGTAAACTATGAGCTAACTCCAAATCTGCATAATCCTCAAAGTAACAGTGCTGCATGTAGGGTGTGTGTATCTGCGAGATGGGTGCATGCAGCTCTTCTAAAGACAAAGAGTGGCCTCAGATCCAGTGTCTTATTAAATATTCATCTGGTCACCAGAGAGACTCAATGTATTTATGCCAATCGATAGCTCTTAGATATGATATTGTGCTGCCACTCAAGACACACCCTCAGTTGCCATGCGCTGATTGAGAAGAGAATGGCCCAACTGTCTCCTCTGGGAAAACATTGAGCTGATTCTGTTTGGTTCTATTTTATTTCTATTCTATTGTATTTTTTTTTTTATATTGTAATTACTGATTTACTTATTTAATCAATGATAAAACATCAAATAAGCCTAATAAAGTTTCCCCAAACACATATACATTATGTAGTGACGTAGAAGGCCGGGTTTGGGGCAGACTAGCGTGGTCTGGGACCTGCTTTATAGGATGACCAGATACCACACTTTTACCAGTTTCAGCTCGGGCACATTCCATTTCTGACACAATAGAAACACTCAGACCCCGGTACAGTATGGGTATGGTACGGTGCTTGGTATGCTTCTTCTGCCCCCCTACAAAAATTTCCAGTCAAATTTAAGTGAAACATTTTAGATTTAAAATTTCTTTTGCTTGAAACAAAGTTGACTGTCAGTATAGTGCTTAATTTTGTCTTGATAAGATTTCTTAAAATAAGCCATAATGTATAGCACATTACCAGATTGATGAAGCCAGGAGTGTTATGTACCTCATATTTTAAAAAAACTTTACACATGCAGACTTTGCACTTAATTTAAGGGGTCATGTAGCCAGCTGACAGTGACACACAATGCTACTGTGCTGCTAAAGTTTCAAATTAGCATACAGTAATACATACAGTACAATGCTGCTGTTAATTCTCTGAAGTTTTATGTGATTAGCCTGTATGTGTGAGTGTGAGTGTGTGTGAATGGTTCATCATGGTAAATAAAGTTTAGGAGTTGCTTATATAAATGACACAAGCTGACTGTAGCAGAAGAGTTCAGGAAATGGGCCACACACAGAAGCCCAACCTTGATATATCATAGTTAGAGTCATTACATTCGATTTACCTTCAACCAAGCCATTCTATATGTACACAAACGCACATCAGCAGCACTTTTCTGAAACAAACACTTCTGCCCAGCTGTGAGCTTTCTCCTCTCCTTCACTTTCAAACATCCTTGTTAATTTAGCTGCTTACTGCTCAGCTCTCCTGCTATCTGTCGCACTTGGTTTAAGTCAAGCAGTGACTCCCTGCCAGCTTTACCATAAAGGGCAGAAACTTTGTGTGTGTGTTTGTGGATGGATGGAGGGTACGGTGAGTTTATACGTGTGGGCGGGTATCCATTTGTGTGTTCTTTTGAGAGGGAAGTTGTGTAATGCTGCTGGTCCATGGGAGATGAGCTCCATAATGGTCACCATGGCAACAGGCTTTCAAGATGGAGCCCTTCTAGTGCCCCTTTGAGTGCCACAGCTCCTGGAGCACAGAGCAGCCTGTGTGTGTGCTTGTGCCTTTACATTATGGGGACCGAAATCTGTTAATACACTCACACTGTGGGGACTTGGCCATCATTGTGGAGATCAGAGGCTGGTCCCCGCAAGAAAATCAATAAATTTTAGGGTGGCAGCATGGTTTAAGGTTAGGTTGAGGTTAGGGTCAGAGTTAGGGTTAGGCAGCTAGTGGTTATGGTTAAGGTTAGGATAACAGGAAATGAATGGAAGTCAATGTAA